ATATATATAATTAAGATAGCCTAAGAAATCAAAATCTGGTTAGAATGGTGATGGAAGGTATGTAAAACCAAGTGAAAGTTAAAGTGAAAGTGAAGATAAAAAAGATGTTTAAGGTTTATAAATGCAATTGAAGGCATCTGTTTTTGTCAGCAATCAATCAAATGTAACTCGTTAGATAAAAAAAAGTTCATCCAACGGTTTAACATTTTTCTCACCATTTTGGACGACAACTCTTATATATATATATATATATATATATATATATATATATATATATATATATATATATCGATGTTTAAACGAGAACACCTTTATTTTACGAGAACGCAAGAACACCCCATCATTTATGATAATACATGTGAGGGGACTTGGTGGTGTGTAGAAAAATGTGTCCTGCAACTTAGGTTACGCCAAAGGTCGTTTGTGTCTATGATTTAATATCACATGTGATGATCTTGATTGATTGTAATATCACATCAAGAACACACTTACCACATATGATGGTACATGTGAGGAAGGCTTAATGTGTAAGAGCGACTTGGTCCGCAACCTAAAACGTGTCTGAAGTCCTCTACATCTCTGATTTAACATCACATGCATATCATATGTGACAGAATAAAAGTATCACATGTAACTGTCTATACTAAAAGGTGGTTGTCACATTTTGTAAAATGAATATATTCTCGTTTGAACCCTTACCTTACCTATATATATATATATAGAGAGAGAGAGAGAGGGGCGTGAAGTTAAAGATTTTGTGAGAAGACGAGAAGTTTCAATCTCATATATGATTACACTCATTTGGGTGTATTTAATCATACATGATTAAACTTGTGTATCATACGTGTAATGATATATGATATTAAAACTTCTCCAAAATGTATAGTTTCTCGTTTGAACTTGCCCCTATATATAGGGTTGGGTTCCGGTAAGAATAAAGTTATGGTGAAAAATGATAAGAAGAGATCTCCACCCTTGAGATACACCGGGATGTACCAAATCAATTCCTATGAAAAACGCAATTCATGGACGAGTATGAGATTATAAGTGATCAATGATAATTTCGGTTAATTTCACAGGTTTGATTTTCAAATACGTTATTTCATAAAACTGATTTCCACGGTTTCTAACTTTTAATAGGGTTTCTATACATGTAATGTATTGAGAGAGACAAGATAAGGAAAGTGTAAACCCCACCTTTGACACTTTAAATTAGAATATACACACACACACACATATATACCCCTTGATTAAAGTCATAAAGCAATAAACACCCCTCCACCTCTCACTTTCTTTCATTTTCATCACCTAAAAGTTTGTCTCTTTTGCCCTTTTCCTTACCACCAAACAACATAAATCATGCATTGCCCACTTGTACCATTACTTCCCTTGTACCTAGGAAATGGGTAGCCTTTTTATTGGTGTAGTGGGGTTTACATTTATTTCCCTTTTGCATCATTAGATTGACCCCCCTAATTCCCTTCTTCAATGTCATTCTCACTACTCCATTTTTTAATTGGTTTGGTGCTACTTTCTTTACCTTTTATCAAGTATACCCACCATTTCTAAACAACCAACACAACCCTCAACTCCCATTTCCATGTTACAAACCATTCTAAAGATAATTTGATTCATATTTTAGGTAACATATTTTTAAAGCTTTTATTTTGATACATAAGATGTAAAATTTTAAAACATTTAAGTATCCGGGTAACCGGTTTAAGCATTAGCCGGTTATCATGCTGATGTAGCCGAATGATGTGATATCCAACTCAGTATTAGGCATGGTTAGTGACATGGATTCTTTTTAATCTAAAATTAGTCGGTTAACCATGTACTTAAATGTTTGAAACTTTACATCTTAGTTACCAAAATGAAAGTTTTGAAAGTACATTACTCAAAATAGAAATCAAGTTAAAGTACGTTATTTTTTTCATGCAACTTGCCCTTAAAGATGTATATATGTATTCATAAATTTGTTTTTTTTTTATATTAACCAATATTCTTGAACAAAATGTATTTGTGTTTCAATAACCATCTTAAGTTATATCATTTTAATCAAACTATGACGTCGTTAAAAGTCGATCGTTAAAATTTGTTTTAATTAATTTTGTTTGTGTATTAAAGAATAATCTTGGAATATTAGTATATAATTATCAAAAAGTAAAAGCTATGCACTTAATTTATATTTAAAAAGGTTGAATGATTGAATTTTTAAGGTCAAAAGTTTCGCCTAATATTAATCACATCGTGTTCATCATCAATTAGCGACAAATAAGAAAGAGGGTATGAAATTCGAGATAATTTACTTTAATCTTCTGTTTTGCTACATGGTTACTGTTTGGTATGAAAATGATATGAAATGACAGGTCTTATGACCATCGATTTGATTATAAATGGTGGTTTATGTTCGTGACATGATCAATATGTTAAAACATGAAGTTATGTTGAAATTCTCATTATAATTAATGTGTTAGCATGCCATGCAGTAGGAACGGTGTGAGAACACTGAAATCTGTATAATGGTCGAATAAATCAGCATTCGAGACATATCAAAGAGCTTGGAGCATGTGAGATCCAGGTCCCTAAGACGAAGTAAGGGGCTGCAAGATAGACTTCACAGGTTAAGTCACAACGACCAGACAACACGAGTATAACTTGTATGTCGAGTCAGATGGACCAATCAACACATTTCTGCTTCAACGAGTTGATGAACTCCCATGGACTACATCGGGTTTGGAAGCAACTCCAAGTTGCATGGAAAGTCGCATACCCCCTATCAGTTGGAATGACAATCATATCATTGTAGCACGTTTAGTTAACTTAGTATATTTGCTCATTAGTTAAAGTGATTAAATGCCATGCATGATGTGTGCATGATTCATCATGCAAATCCAATTAAACTTACATGGACCAGATGCGAGTTTAATAAGACTTTAAAACTGGGATAGACGTCACTGGTTGAAAATGAGAACCGTTAATATTTTGAAAATTGAGAAAACACTTATTTCATTCTATGTATTATACATGAGGAATGTCTTGATAGATATTCATGATTAATATATTCAGGGTTTTTTTTAGAGTTATTCATCATTAATAATAGGAAAAAGTCTAAAAAACCCAATGAACTTTAGTGTTTGGAATGATTAAGTCTTTGGACAATTTTTTAGAACTAATAAATCCTTGGACATTCCAAAACCTGTTAAATAACTTCTTGGACTTTTTAAAACTTGTTAGATTCATTCTTATGACATATACAACTTGTTCATGTGGTAAAATAATAGGAAAAAAAACTAGAAAAGCCAATAGACTTTCATATTTTGAACGATTAAATTCCTAAACATTTTTTTAAGCAAAAAAGTACTTATAATATAAAATGAAACAAATATACCAAAAATGTACTTACATTTACAAAATAATACTTACAGTGGTGAAATTTATTTTAATTGAAAATAAAAAATATTCTTTCAGTGATTTTCCAAATTAAAAAAAATAAAAAAAGATTTAAAAAAAGGATTACTGATTAAATATATTTTAATAAAATAAAATATACTTTGTATATGATTTCTCAAATTAAAAAAAATAAAATTCAAAATTAAAAAAAATTATTGATGAAATTTATTTTAACTAAAAATAAAATATATTTCGTTGGTGATTTTTCAAATTAAAAAAATAAAAAATAATTTGATTAAATTACAGACGAGTTAACGATAAAATTTAACTAAATACCTAATTAATTAAAATTCGTCGCTAATCTATATGTGAAATGATATCACCAACAAGATTCAAGCACGATCTTTCACATTTGTTAAATGTTACAGTGTTAGAGCGTCTGACGGTGGTCAAGTTAACCATCGATTAGATATAAGTAATCCATGCATATATACTAACGAACACTAACGATGAATTTTAATTATTTATGTATTTAGTTATTCAAATTATTTTTTATTTTTTTTAATATGAAAAATCATCAACATAATATATTTTATTTTTAATTAAATAAAATTTCATCAGTAATCCTTTAAATCTTTTTTTTAATTTTTTTTAATTTGAGAAGTCATATACTGAATATATTTTAATTTTAATCAGTAATCTTTTTTTTTAAATATTTTTTATTTTCAATTAAAATAAATTTCATCAATATTTTTTTTTAAAATGTAAATACCTCTTTATAAATGTAAGTACCTTTTTGATATATTTGTTTCATTCTATAAATATAAGTATTTTTTTTTTGTTCAAAAAATGTTTAGAGACTTGATCGTTGAAAATATGAAAGTTCATCAGTTTTTTTCCAGATTTTTCCATTATTTTACCATATTAACCAGTTTTATAGGTCATAATGATGTATCCAACAGGTTTTAGAAAGTCCAAGAAGTTATTTAACATGTTTTGAAATGTCCAAGGACTTATTTGTTCCAAAAAATTATCCAATGACTTGATCATTTCAAACACTAAAGTCCATTGAGTTTTTTAGACTTTTCCCTTAATAATACATGAAATTGGATCAGTTTCCAAAATATTTATGGATCTCATTTAAACTCCCTCACATGTCACAATATATGTTACAACATTTTCAAATGTGCTTCAACATTATTTCATATATGACTTGTGCATGTTGTGTTGAGACGTTGATAGTATCAGACGGGCCACCATAAATATGCACACATTTCTTACATGCATTTGTACATGGTTCAAATAGTTAACACCAGTACAAGTATTGTGGTAACTGTCGAACCGAAGTTCGTGAATGAGAATGGTAAGTCCGTTGTTAGTTATAGCTCGTCGATAACTAATTGTAGATGGACTAAATTGCCATTTAGTTTGTAGATGGACCAAAATTGTAAATGTTGGATATCTGAAGGGTGTAAACTGAAGTTATATGAAAGCCTAGGGTTATGAAGGTCACTTTGGCCCTTTAAAAGTTCCCCCTCCGTCCACTGCACGGCTACAAAAGCAACAAACCCCTTTTTAAGTTTTAACACCTATCCACATTCTATAAGATTCAATACTACAACAAGATCTTCTTCTAGAGATCCCCATTTCAAGGTTCTTACCGCCATGGATTACGTAAGCTTCTTGTTACCTTTTTCTGTTTATGTCTACTTAATTTGCTTCTTAGATTCAAAGAACAAACTCAAGCAATCGATTAATTGCTTTGGTTTCACCCTGGAAGTTGTTTGCGGTGTTAATCTGTGTGCTTTTTTACAGGAGTACAAGAGAAATCATGTTCCGGCGTTTGGAAGCTGGGATTGCAATGACGACCTACCGTTCACTCAGTGTTTTGAGTCGGCGAGACAAGCTGGACTGCTTCGATACAGTTATTCTGAAGATCGTGATCTGTACGTCACCGGCGATTTGTACGACAACAATGTAGTCACTCCGGCCATGATTGTCGTTCCTCGTCGCACGGTAATTCAATGTCTCTCCTAAATCGTAATAGTTACGATTAAATTCATTCCAGAAGTTTCTAAACAAATCCTAAATCGTAATAGTTACGATTAAATTCATTCCAGCAGTTTCTAAACAAATCTTATATGTTTTTTAATTGTAAACAAACTAGTTTTTTACTTCCTGAAAATCTAAGATGAACATACCGTAATAATCTTAGATCCAGATGAAATGTTATGTTTTCACTGCAACGAATCATAATTACTATTTTGATGCAAACAAACTACTTGAGAAGTAACAATTTCGTATATCTCTTAGTTGTGGTTACATTTACAGGATTCATCGACCAAATGGTTTGTTTTGAAAGAATTTTTATGGTAAAAAACTAAAAATTCGTGTAGATCATGAAACCAAGCGTATTATGCATAAAAATGTAGTACATAAGTTTGGAATAGCCAAACTTGACCTGGAAAAAAGTTATGGCTTTTTGAAGGTTAAAGTTTGGTTTGTACTTTATGGCAAAAACAGGGGAAAGCAGGGTACCCGCATGTGAAAGAAGGGAAAAAAGACGCATGGGTGGTCTGTGACTATGAATACGACTACGATTATGATTGTGACGTGAAGGAGCCCCCTAGCCCTGTCAGTGTAGCAACACCAACACCACCACCACCGCAACACCCCAGGAGGCATGTTAAAGCCATGGCCGTAGACGAAGATCTGTACAGGATCTCGCCGGAGCTCCTCCGTGCCAAACCCAAACGGGTAATTATTATAAAACCCTATTATAATAATTCGATGTTTCTGTGTAGTATGAGAGAGAACATGTAAATTGAAATGATCACACATCACGAGTCCGCTGACACATTTGTATCATATTCCCGCAATTGTAGGCACGTAATTTCACATATTTGTCCATTTACACAAGTTACGTATAGGGATCCCACTTTCTCCTATGCTTAAAGTCAAAATTGTTTTTTATTTTCATTTATATATACAATATATATTAAACAATTAACCACCTTTCTTGGAATTCATTCCCAAAAATCCAAAAATATGACTTTCTCCCCCATTAAAACACCAACCATTTCAAGATTTTTAATAAAGTAATCATTGTATTCATTAAAAACGAAACCTGATTTTAAAAAACTACCCACATGTTATTTTTGTGACAAGAAACAAAAGTAAGGTCAAATTTCACGTTTTGGGTTATTTTTCTCTTGATGTTGGTTTGGAATAAAGCCAAGAAGTTGATATTTTTTTACTGTGACCAAGTCAAAACAGCTGGTGTTAATAGGAATCTATAGAGAATAAGGTGACAAAAGATAAGTCAGAATAGAAATGTACCATGGCTTGTTGTATGTTATATAATGTTTATATTAAGATATGATGATTTTTGTAATTGCAGAAGAAGTGGGGATTGTTTTCAAGCTGCATGCAGCCAACATGTGTTATGTGAAGACAAACTACAGCTTTCAAAGGTACATATGATGAGGACAAGGCAACTATTGTTACTATTATTATATAACATTATTATTATTATTATTATTATTATTATTATTATTACTAGAAATAGTGGTAGACTGGACTGGACTATGTTTTTTGTGTGTGTAAATGGGCCTTTGGCCCAGGCCCAAAAGAGCCCTCTTATTAATTCATTATTGTCGTAGGGTAGAGTAATGATGATTCATCATGATGATGGTGATGATCTTGAAGTTGTTTCCTGAAAAACACTTGTTGCTTTTGCTACTTTTTTTTGGGAATCTTTCCTTGGAATTTGGATTTTCATGCTTCTTGGTAATAATTGATGTTTACTGATTTATTTTTGAACCATCTTGTCTCTTTTTTTTCTTTCTTTATATACGACTTCCCAAAATTAACTAGGACCCAAACCAACCTGTCATGCATCTACTCTCTTCTTTGGTTTAATTTAGTTTTACATTGTATAAGATCCCAATCTAAAATATTTCTAATTCCTCTATTTGGATAAGATCCTTTTGCTTTTAACTCAAGTATAATTGATACCACCATACCTTTCAAATGGGATGATATATAAACAATACTGATATTGTGACACCTTTCAAATAGGAACAATCTTTCTAGAATTGATCATGATTTGATATGATACATGTAAACTGTTACATGACAACCGCTGAATTAAATCATTTCTCCTCCATATACGTTAGAATCTTTTTAATTTTCACTTAAAGTGCTCATTTGGAGAGTAATCTAGCGAGGTTCTACATATCTTCATATGGTATCAAAGTCTAAGTTCGGCCACTTTGCCACAATCTGTACCAAAGCCACCAAGTTCAGATTTGGAGAAAACATGCCTTAAAAGAAACATAAGAAGATAGTAGCCATGGTGATTTGGGTTTATTGTGTTACGGGTAAAAGAACAGTAGGCATAATTAAAGAGAGAGAGAGAGAGAGAGAGAGAGTGTTTGAAGTGAAAAACAAGACCTGAATTAGCTGGTGGGTCAAAATCAAATGGACGTAAGTTTGGTGGGGTTGAGTGCGCATGCTAAGCTGCACAATGACACCCCACATGTCTGTTTTCCACAGATACACAGCTTTTAAGCCAATTAAAAAGCAGGGAGCAGGATAATTGTATGACTTTAATTCTATAGTACAAATAACAGCCAGTCTGTCTGGGTCTTCAGTAATATATCGAGATCATGAAACCAAGAAAGAAAATGAGTTGACGAGTGGAGCCCCGAGCCTGTGCAGGTAGTTGATCATATCTCATCTCATTTCATACCCAACATATACATACTCATCAACAGTACTCAAATTATATATAATATACATATATACACACATATATATATATATATATTTTTTGGGTGCGTTCAAATAAAAAACCACTCAATTTGTAAAAATCGTGAAAACTTCATTCAACCAATCATAATTTTTTATTTTGTTTATTTTTTTGTAATTATGAGAGGTTGATTAACCATTTTTATTGTGGAGGGTGTTAATCATGGATATTATCATCTTCATTATTTTAATTTTAAAAAAATATATAAAACAATTTTATTAAAATTTCATTAAATAGTATATGAAACAATTTCATAACCACATATAAAACAACTTCATAAAAAAAAAGTATTATATGAAACAATTTATATATATATATATATGTGTGTGTGTGTGTGAGAGAGAGAGAGAGAGAGATGTCATAACATAACCATAATGACTAATATTTGAGCAAAAGATTGAGTATCGACAATCTCAACTGGTTTTACATGGCACCCAGCCCTCAAGAAATCTTGCATGAGTAGATTATCTAAGACTCACATGACAACAAGACACATGAGTGGCACCAGATTCGAAACAAAAACACCTCCTAATCCCTTGAGCCAACCTGAATACATGGCAGGAGCCACAATGACTAATTAATTCTTGCATGCCTTAATACTATGACTATAATAACAAACCATGGACAGGAGTGCATGCCATCTTCCATTGCTATATCATGCAACCAATAATTGAAAAGAATAATAACACTAATTAGTGGATGGCTTTACAAGTATAATGTGTGTTCGAGTGATATATGTTGTATCATCCATTCTTTTTTCAATGACTTTATAAAGAATAATTAATATAAAAACATTCCACATATGTTTGAAAGATGAACACATTACGACATAAGTGAATCTAGAAATTTATTTCAAGTGGTGGGTATAATTTGATTATAAAAATGAAATTATGGATATCTTGTACACAATCATTATCAGTCTGTTGGTTAGTTCTTTATTTTTGTATGTGAGTTTATGTGTTCGGTATCTCTTATCTCGAATTTTTCAGAAACATGATAAACCTAAAAGTAAAAGTTCAAATCTAAGAAAATAATATAATTAGGATTCAAATTTTGGAAAAAAGGAGAAAAGAGTGTACAAACCAATTCTGTTAAGAGAAAAATTTTGTGTTATTATTGTAGTTTTAAGGTATATATGGTTGACTCAAACAAAATAATATGGTGACACTTTTCACGATCCTAATAACTTTTTACACTATGACGGTAGAATGAAACGGTGGCCCGTGCCACCATACCTGCCATAGTAGGTTCAAAAGCTTATATTTTTTCTTACACTATGACGAAAGCATCTAATCTCAAAATTTACATGTTTTAAGCAAAAGGCCTCAGAATGCTTATGTTTAACTGATCGACATAGATGTGGACATCTTTGGAGGGATAGAAAACCCTAAAATCTGTCTCTATCTCCCTCTGCAAATAGAGCATTTTGCATTGACCTTTAGGATTGTAAACGAATCAAACGAACACGAACGGAAAGCTTGTTCGTATTTGTTCGTTTAACAAACACGAACAATAAACGAACAAATTCTTTTTTGTTCGTGTTTGTTCGCTTAAGAAATGGCTATGTTCGTGTTCGTTTACGTTCGTTTGTTAAGATGCTAAACGAACATAAACGAATGAACATAAACAAATAAACATAACAAATATGGACGAAGAGACTTAAATGAAGTAGAGCTCAAGCCACCTGAGTTTTTAAGGGGTTGGGTAAAATTAAATGGGTAAAAAGTTGAGAAAAATACATCCAACCAGACAAATATATAAGTGAAACATGGGGTTGGGTAAAATTAAATCCATTACTTCTGTTTAAAAAATTCAAAAAATCTAAACTATTTACTCTATTTATTATTAATTATAATTATTATTTAATTTTTAATTTATTGTCATCAGTAAATGAACATAAGTAAACGGACGTAAACGAACATTAACAAACATAAATGAACGTACATTCACGAAAATAGACAAATGAATGAGATCTTTGTTCATGTTCGTTCGTTTAACTAAACGAACAAAAAGAACTTGTTCATGTTTGTTCGTTTATTAATAAATGAACTTTCTGCCAAACAGTTCATTGAATTTTCAGTTCGTTTACAAGCCTATTATCCTTATGTAATACATAGATATTAAGGCGTCGTTTACTAAACACTTATCATATGTCATTTACTTTATCATGTGAGCATGGTAATGAATGAGAATCTTACCTGATAAGAGGCATAACAAGGACCAATGAACAACGAAACTCTTGCAGGGTCCTAGGGATATCGCATTCGCGGTGGTCCCTTGAAGTAGTTCTGAAATTTAAGTTTTGGATTTTATTAAGTTCACCTAGCAAATTTATGTTTCGGGCGTGTTGGATGTAATTAAGAAAGTGGGGAACCTTTTTGAATTAGTTATAGAACTTAGGGGTCTTTTATCAAACGTTTAGTCACATACCTTTACTAGATGAATATGGTAATGACCAATAATCTTACCCGGTAAAAGTGAAGGTAAGGACCGATACCGAGTGTCTTATCCTGTAAGTGAGGGCGGCGACTCTTAGTACGGTTAGCGCTTACCAAGTAAATTGTTGCATACGATACCGTTTTGATGGACTAAAATCATACCCGGTTGGTAAGTGATAGTGTTGAATTTTACTGATAGACACTTACACAAGTAAGCATTTCGTAACGACCCCTCAGTGAAAACTTTGTGTGAATCACAAGGGATCACAGCAGAACACCCAAATCTGTGTTGTGAAAACTTTGAGGTATTTAGATTTAGGGGCTTATTCGGTAAGTGTTTACGGGTAAAATTTAACATTATTATTTACTTATCGGGTAAGATTTTAGTTCCCTAAAACAACATCGTATGCAACAATTTACCCAGTAAACGCTTACCGTGGTAAGAGTCATCGCCCGCATTCACCGAATAAGACTCTTGGTCCTTGTCTCGCACTTATTGGGTAAGATTCTTAGCCCTTTTCATATTCATCCGGTAAGGTAATGTGACTTGATAAGTGCTTACCCGGGTAAACGTTTGGTAAACAGCCCCTTAGTAAAAGAATTTGTAATCTTTCGCATGTTTTATTTGTAGGTTTTGAAATGGAACTGAATTCTATTATTTATAAAAACAATTAAATTGCTTTTTTCTTTAATTGTTTATTATAAAACAAATGCTTCTTTTTATATATTTTTAAATATTATTACAAACAAATGATATAAAACCGTAAGAAATATCAATTACCTGATGAGATTTTTGGAATTTCTGAATCCCATATTTATAAAAAAAATTATTGAAATCCTAAATTTTAATTGTTTATTTCCTTTAAACTAAATATGATATTGATATAAAATAAAATTTCAAATCCCATTAAATCCCGCCAAGCAAACCTACCTTATTTTTTGAACACCAACAACAAAATGGGCCGATGTTGGGCCTGCTGAATTTCGGATTGGGCCCGGACTTCCGTTTAAATTGCTTAATAGAAATTGAAAGCGAAACAATCTGTCACTTCAATCGTACCCTCACGTCTTAATTTATATGATATTAAAATTATACTTGTCTAATATAACATTATACATCTCGATTTTAATGTTTCATTTTTTTCAATTTTACAATACGATTTTATGTGATTTTAAGAAAATGATAATTTTTTTATGTGTGAATAAATATAAATTTGAAGACTCCATAAAAACTTAAAAAATACACTGATATTAGTATCAAATTAACAAATTAAAAATTATTGTTTTATATATAATTTTTCAGTTCAATTTTTATTATTTTAGTTTAGGTTTAATAACAGTGTAATTTATCTTAAGTTTAATAATGTAATGATTTTCTTATAAATATAATTAAGTATTCTGTTATAACTCATTAATTATTCTCATTATGTTTTAGGTTCTATATGTTTAAATTATGATATTAATTTTGTATTTCATTTTGTTTATCAACTAGTTATATGAATTCAAACATGCAATTTTAAAAAGCAAATTTTTTTTTTGTAA